CATGTATGCCTAAATCCTAATTGAAATCCATGCCTTTTGCTGCAAATCTACCATTTGTTAATTGTTGGGTGGTTGACTGGTTGACCTAAAGATGTTTATAAGACTATAAACCTTTTGTTCCTGGGCAACGTTTTTATACTGAAGGTAGTTTGTGTGTTTAAAAACTAGCATTCTAATGTTTTTTCAACATTTTAAGAGGCAACATGTTCATACTGAAGGTAGTTTGTGTATGTGTGTGTGTAACACCAGAGGTTGAAAATGTGAGAATCATAGATATGACCCGTTAAAGAGCTGGAGCAATTAGTTACATGACCTTTATGAACTTCATTCCTACAATCTAACTTTCTAGTGTTCTTTCAAGACTTSAAGAAGCAGTGTGTRCAACACCATAGGCAGGTGATATGAAGGTTATTGAGTTAAAAGAAATTTAAAAACTATGCTCCTAATTGAAAGCTCATTTAAAAAGTTTATATATTGGTAAGTCAGCTTCCTCTAAAACTTGGATTTGACCATGCAAAACGTGCCCATAAGCCAAGGTATGAGTTTTCATTTCTTTTGATCTCTACTTCTATACATTTTAGGATTCCATATCCTCAACCATTCATTGCTATATGAAAGAACACCCGCACTTGGTGCACTTCTGCCAATATGCCAAACAGACTCGGACACTGCTATATCACCTGATTGCTATGTTTTTATTTCAGCCATAATTCATAAATGTGGCAAGAAAAATATTAGTTATACACTCCTTCTAACCTAATGGTTTAGTTACATACTGTCCCCTAGTATGTTTCTTTTTACATCAATGCATTGAGCGAATAATGTATACGATGTTTTAAATAAACTTAAAGTACGCCAATGCAGTGACTTCCTAACCAGTCTTGATATTCCAATTTCACTGCAAGTTCTGTAAGAGAACCATAAATAACAACCAACATTTTAAACCATATCGACATTGTTGGCTAAGTYTYAGCTTAACTTAACATGTTGATGGCATTGTTTTGAAGCTATTTGGGTATTGGCATTGTTTTGAAGCTATTTGGGTATCATCATAGTATTGTGGCTTTTGTAYACTGATCATATTGTTTTTTAATGATTTTAGGAGCAAYACCCAAGTCAGTTCTTGAGCTAATGGATGTGAAAGATCTCACCTTATCYCATGTTAAATCTCACTTGCAGGTTAACTTGGCCTCCATTTTTGCAATRTTCAAATTAATCTTATTGATRCATGTATTTTCTGTTTTCAAAACATAATTGCTTTGCAAGATGCATTGTCTGTCTACTGTGTAAATATATTTATTATTTAATTTTGGCAATTTACTTACTTCTCTTTTCTTTTTTGTCAGGGTGACGGTATCCTAGCAGATTCTGGCACTGAGCAGCTGGAGTTTATAACACTAAGTCAAATGATAGGAGATCCAAAGTATCAACAGAAGGTATTGTTTCTATTATGTAAGAAAGAATTCATTATGAGTATGTATGTGTATGTTTTGTCTCATTATGACAGTATCCAAAGAATTCAAAGAATTCTGTCTCTACCACATCTTAAGAAAGAATTCATGTCAATTATGAAGTTGGAAAAGTAGCATGTAGGTGTATGCTTTGTCTCATTATGTGATACTTGGGCTATTGATTTGGCCTAATGTTGTACCATTATGAGACATTTTTCTTCAGTATGTTACCTTTCTTGTTATTCATCTTTATGTGTTTTCTTTGATTGTTTTTCCTTTCATAGTATTATGACTTTATGCTTACTTTGTAGTCTGTCATATAAGCTACTTCCTTCTGTTAAATTTTCGAGGCTTCAAAATTAGGATTCAAAAGGCTTGTAGACAGCAGCTCCCTASAACTTTTCTGTGTTTATGATGTTAGCTACAACTTAAYGCCACAATAGCRTGAAGGATTATTAATCATGATTATATCTTTTTTTCATAGGTGTATGTAATTGTATTGCAAACACAAAGTACCCARTTGGAAACTACAATGCACATGTTGTGGCTTATCCTGATGTGAACTGGCCCCATGTTTCTGAACAGTTTGTAACCTCTMTTGGGTTAAGCTTCAACCCATATGTGACCCAGGTATGTGATGATACTTAGATTCTTATGTTTTGCTTTTGCATATTCCAGTTTTAATTTCTTTTAGTGAATGTAAATGAAGAAAGCTTGATCATCCCTGTTTTTATTGATCTTTTGTCATTAACTGTGGATCTCTTTTTAGCCTATATATCGTTCAGATGCAATGCAACTTTAAACTGTTTAAATGAGTAGATTTGGTTATATAGAAGTGTATATATTATTCAAGGTTACTGGTTGTTTACTACCTACTTATCGCCTCTTACCGGGTAATAGGGGGTTACCCGGTCAGAGATGTTGTTTACCAAGCCCCTCTTACCAGTTCATGATGCTGACCTGGTAAGCTAAGGGAGGAACTCTTACTCGTTCAGTGATTAGTGTTGACCCAGAACACACTCTTACCCGGTTAGTGCTTACCCAATTTGTGTTGGTAAATGGCCACTAACTTTGCAACCATGGGTTTGAAGCACCCAAATAACGTGTTTACAAAATGCAAAGCCAACGYTATGTACAAAAACTCCCTCCCCAACTTTTTCAAGGCCAAGGATCTTGGTGCGTCAAGGTTACCCTTCGATTGTTCCATCATGGTCTACAACCTTTACTTCTTGAGTTCTGATATGCATTCAAATTGCTCGTTTAATATTGAATTGAATTCCATACATCTTTCTTTACTGAAAAAGCAGAGTTGTGCATTGTCTAATAGCTTTCTGTTTTTGATTTATGGCTCTAGGTCAATGAGACTGCCTTGAACAAGGACCTGGACAACTCATGGGAGGTGCTTGCCGAACCAATACAAACAGTACATATCTGGCTTCCATTGCAATGGTCTCACATTGAAATGGTCTCATTRCAGTACTGGAAATTACAAACAACTTGTCTTATAAATTGTATCTATAATTGGATGATGCGTCTCGCATTATAGTTATTTAGGACGTTTTTAGTGTTAATTATTATAACCTATTAGGACACTTTTTTAGTATTACTTAGTTCATTTTATAGGACACTAAAATTTGTTTCATAAAAACATTTTTTCGGACATTGAATTTCTTCCTATAAAAACATTTTTTGGGACGCCCATATTTGTTTCTAAATGTAAACATTTTGTGACAACATAAAGTGTCCTATATTATAGTCTATTAGGACACTTTTTAGTGTTACTTAAACCATTTTATAGGACTATGTGTTTTGTATCATAATCCTAGAGTTTTTTAGGACACTCAAATTCATTCTATTAACCTAATACAATACCTTTAGATGAGACACACATATTTTTTGTCCTATAAACTTAAAAGTCCTATTAACTACCTTATTAGGACACTAATGAGTGTCCTATAAAGCCCTTTTTGTTGTAGTGAAGCATACAACAATGGAGAGATTCCACGTGCAAGGTGCTCTAACAAAATTGGGCAGGAACGGTTATTGCACATGCAACTTCATATTTGTTCAAAGATAAAACGGTTGAGTCTAGAAGGGTTCCAGAGGGTGACCGGGGTCTCTCCCTTGTCTGGTAAGCTTCTTGTTAAGTACATCTAATTCTTCAAGGTACGTTCTGGACTTCAACACTTCAAAGATTTTTCAATACTTTTTACAGAATTTGAAATACAGAATTGGGGTCTAATATTTATCTTATATTACATTATCATTATTTACTAAATGAGTACTCGATGGGTTCCCCATACCTAACTAGTAGGGATTTCGTCCCGGATCTATAAGGATTAGATGTGTTGGGGGAATAAATATGGAACAAAGACGTGGATGGTAATGGTCTGGGAACCGGTAGTGAAAGTACATTCTCTGTTATTCTTATCATGTTTCCATCCCTAATAGTTGCATAGATAGAGTTAAAGAAATTGAAGGAAAATGATGAAAGAAAGAAATTGATTTGCTGCATTTGTAGTAAGGGCATACAAAAACCCAATAAACCCAACCTAAGATACTAATCAATTTTTAGAATCAACGATATAAAATAGTATTGTTTGGTTATCAAATGTCCCGAAATACGTCAAAATGCAACAAATGGGCAACCTTTAATTTTATCCACTCAAGTTTTTGTTTTTGTTTTCCTTTCAAAGTTCAATGCATATTTTGATCATATTTCTCCCTCATCATTCAATTGAGGGTTTGTGTTCATATTGTTAAATACTTTGTAGAGTCAGTATCTGGCCTAGAGCAAGCATTAGCTTCACTCATGGAAATTGGGAGGCCCATATCCGTAAGGTACAACTCTTGGACCACTTTCTCTATCCAATAGAAGCCTTGATCGAGTGGTCGATAGATTGATTTCTTTCATAACTTCATTTCATTTTTTATTAGAATATTAGCTTCCTACAACATCAAATACTGAAAATCTGTATGAAAACTCTGATTGGATCCAACAAACATGAAGTGGTATGAATCAAAAAAACCTCGAAGATACAATCTTTCTAAAAATATATTCTAGCCCAACCAAATACAACCTCAATTGTAATGGGTTCATGTGAATTTTCAAGCCAACATAGTTCGGTTGGGTTATCAAAATGTACCCAAACCATGTGTGCCTCTACTTGTTAGATGATTGAAGATGGGGAATGTAGGGAAAAGTAGTGCATGACAAGATTTCAAAAACCTAAATATAAAAAAAAAATCAAATAATGGTTCAACCGTCGGTAAATTATTTATTAGCAAACAAAACATGCAATCACTGGATTCAACGGTATGTGAATTGGGTCATATATTCTTATCCCAATGTAGGGATTAACTAGACCACAAAATAATAATAAAAAAATCACTTGATTCATAAAAGTTTAAAAGTGAGACATGACATATATAAAGCATTCTAAAATTTGAACAAATTGTGATACTGATGTAGATATATGATCGAGAGACATATAAAAAAATTAATCTTAGAGACTCATCATCCGTTCCAACACTACCAATGAAAATGTATTTAAGAGAATAATTTCCAAATAGTTTACAGTATAATATAGATAAATACAATAATACAAACTTTTACTATATAATCAACATCCATGAGAACTTTTTTTCTAGGCTCATATATATAATAAGCTAGGAATTTAAGTATTCTTTAGCCACTACATTGGACCTTGACATCATCATGCTTGTTGCTTATGGCCAACCATTGGCAGTCCTCAAATGAGCATTTTTGCTCACCAATTGGCCACTCGACGTCCTCGGCTGTCATAAATTTGGGACCCCAGCTTGGGGTGCCATCTTCATAAGAGTTATGTGTTAATCTGGTTAACTCTGAACCGTCTAATTTCATGGTAAATATGTCTCCATATGGTTGATAATGATGCGGATTAGATATTGGTTCAGCCGACACAGCAGCATAGTCAGAGGTGAAAACAATGTACTTCCCATCTGGGCTGAACCACGGGTGGTTTGTACGTCCAGCTGCTCCACTATGAATCAGTTGTCGAAGCCCGGTTCCATTTGGGTGAATCATATATAACGCAAAACTGCCTGAACCTGGGTTGTGACGGTCTGACGCGAATGCGATCCAGTCCCCATCTGGGGACCAGTTACACATTGTGTCGGACCATGGCCCGTTAGTCAACTGAGTTAGACCACCCTTCTCGCCGTCATGGGCGTCCATGATGTACAAGTTTTTATGACCCGTTCGACCCGACCTAAACGCAATCCAATTTCCATCTGGGGAAACAGATGGAAAGGCGTTGTTTTGTCCGCCGATGCTAAGTTTTTTAAAACTCAGTTCGTCGGCATCAAGCTCTACTGAGATTATATCGACTCCGGTATCCACACTCGCAAAGGTGGGACCTATACTTGTATAGATCACACCTTTGCGTTTGGGGTCCCACACAGTTGAAAATGCACTAATATCAGGAATTATTTCTCGATGGCCCGATCCATCACTATTAGCCACATATAAACCGGGCAAACCCACATAAGCGATGCGCTCACCATCCGGTGAAAATGAAGGAAACGACCCGTCGATCCGGAATAGAGAAATTCCGGGTCTATGGGTTTGGATATTCTCAAGAAATAGGTCATTCTTTATCATCTTTCCAATGCTTCCGTACCCTCTACATCTGTGATACCCGACCCGGGAAGAATCAGGTGATAGAAATGGGTTATAATGATTGGCTCGTGGAGCAACAAGTCGGGTCAAATCCTTAAATGACCCGGATACGATGTCGTATAGCTCTATGTGACGATAATCTGAATCAGGTCTCCTTGTTGCCACTGCAATAATTCCCTTTCTGACTACTGATGCAGCTGGGGTGAACGTGTGAAGACCGGGTGGAGTGATTCGCTCAGTCACCACCGAGTCGACCGTAAATGGCTTGTTTTTAGGGAGGATTGCGACGTAAATGCTCCACCACCCATCGTCACCCCTCCGGTGGAAGAAAAACGTCGAGTCATTTGCCCAACTCGGCCACCCACCGTGGTTCACCACCTTGACTCGGCTGGACCCGTTTTGAGTCAAGAAAACATATATATCCGTATTGAGTTCCTCCACCTCGCCGCCCCAACCATTTTTTCCGGAAGAAGCCACCGCCGTCCATAAACCTGACGGGGAGACGGCCGGGCTGAAATCGGCTACTCCTTCAGGCGTCAATCGCCGAGTTAACCTGGTTGATAACTGAGTTGAGTAAACCGCAGCCCAACTCGTCCTCCCCACACCTGTGTCCTCATGAGTCGACACGTATACCAATAAATCACCTACCAAACTGGGCCTGTCTTTCATCGAAATCCTTCCGGTGTCGCTACCGCCGACGAGATGGTGTTGAGAACGAGTTAACTCCGATTCAAGGACGGACCGTTTTCTGGAGCTGTCCAACCCATCGTGAGAAAGTACGTCGAGGTAGATGGAGGATGAACCGTTGCGTTCAGTAACGTAGACGAGTTGAGTCGGTTGTGGGTCTGCCACTAATGGATTGGTGATGAGGGTTTTATGGAAGTAGCCATTGAAATTGACGGAGTGGCCGTCGGTGAGTCGGAGTTCATTGTGGGTGGCGTCGATTGAAAGGGAGAATATATCGAAGGCATATCTTGATCGGCCGTTTGTAGTAAAAACTATGCTGGTGGCAGGTTCAGCCACTATCGCTTGGATGAAGATGAAGAGGAAAGAGGTGATGATGATTCGAGGGGTTTTCATGATTGAGTTAGTAGAGAGAGAGAGGGGAAGCAGCGAGGTTATCTTGTTATCAAAGTGGAGGCTTGTGATTCTAATTGCACGTCCACAAACCACAAATTTGTTCCACATGTTTTAAGGGTGAAATATCGTGTTAGAAGTTAAAATAAGAAATGTTAGAAAATATCTAAACTCATAATATTTTTAATCGTATATCCATTTGTAATTATGCTTTAGAAGATAATTTATCTGGTTTATCGAGATACACTTTGTTAGTGTTGATTAGAAGAATACTCGCATAATGCAGTAAGACAAATCTCGATTTTAATATTCTATTTTATTATTTGTCTTTGTCGATATTATAATACGATTTTTATGTGTTTTTAAAAAAGCATTAACAATTTTATTTTTAAATAAAAATATAAATTTAAAGATATCATAAAAAAATT